TCTGGAAATTTTTTGATATTATAGCTGGGACAACATATGTCCCAGCTACTGAGAAACATCTAGGATAGAAAATAACGCCAAGTTGGACCTAAAACTGATTCTAAGTCCGTCTTAATGGTGAAATCATTGTTTTTAATGGTGTGCTGTTATGGGGACGTTTATGCGCAATGTAATACACTCGGACTGATTTTTCGTCGTATTGAAAGGATTAAAGCATAAATGTTTTTATTAAAAAAATTCTGATCTTTAGAACCAATAAACTCTGATATTGTATTTTTTAGACTGTCTTCATTTTTATATTGTTTACCCCATAAAAACAGTTTCAAATGTTTAAAAAAATGATAGGACGGTGAATATTTTGGGTGCGGCAAAAATTTATATTTCAATTAATTTCATTTTGTAATTGTTTTTTGCGATGTATGCGGCCAAAAATTGTCATGAAGAAGTAGTGGGCCAGTCTGATTAACAAGTGATGGTCGTTTTATTTTCCATTTTTCATGCATCTCATCAATGTACTGGCATATTGTCTGTTTCTGACCATAATTGTCTCTCCTGTTTGAAGGAACAAGTAATGAACTACACCAGTCACATTCCAACAAACTGTAGTTGAAATCTTCCGTGGATGAAGTGATGGCCTTGGAGTATGAGCAAAAGCCTTATCCTTATCAAGCCACTGAGCACACTTTTTTCTGTTGTCGTAAAGAACCCATTTTTCATCACAGGTAATAATCCGATCGAAAAGCAGCTCTCGATGTAATCGTGTTAATAATGACGAGCATATGTTTAACCAATTCAGCTTATTTCGCTTGGTTAGTTCGTGAGAAACCCACTTATCAATTTTGTTCACCTTGCCAATTTCAGAAAGATGTCGCAATGCAAATTGTATGGTCAACTTTCATCCTGATAGCAAGTTCCCTTATGGATACAATTGGATTTGCTTTCACCAATGCTTTCAGATCATCATTTTTCATGGTCGTTTTGGGTCTTCCACGCGGTTCGTTTTGTAGTGAAAAATCGCCAGACCGAAATTTCTCAAACCAACGCTGCACTTTTCGATTATTAACAGTATTCTCCCTAAACGCCTGGTTTAAGTAAGTTTTGTGCAGATTTTACAGCATTTTTACCAAGTTTATATTCATACAAGAAAATTACACGGTGAAATTTATATTAGTACATAATTTAAAACAAATTACAAAAGGGAACATTTTTGAGAAAATCTCCTATTACTCTGGTGATGTACAGTACGACTATAAAAGAGGTTATGTCAAAAACAATAGCATATGGAAAACAGGGAGAGAAACGTTTGTATGTAAAAAAAAAATGACATTTTACATGCATCAACCTAATACAAAAAATACGATTTTAAATATCAATTATCGATTTGATTATTTATTTAAATTATTAAGAATTAATGTATAATATATAAGAGAATAATGTGTATAGTATATACTATACTATCTTCTTTATCCTCATAACTGTAGTACAACGTTATTACTGATCAAATATACGTACGAGCTAACCGTGGAACGTAAACACTCGGCTAAATAGTAAATAAGAATGTACGTAATACTTATATATACTTCGTACCTTCCTAACCTTTATATTATCTTCGCATAAACATACACAAACATAAACACGCCGAGAGATATGTATACTCGCGAGAAACGATATATTATTATTGCAAATAAATATGTCTCTGTTGAGAGAAGAATTTAATCTCCATTTTTTTTTTTTTTTGAAATTGATTATAATATACTCGTATTAAATTATGATATTAAACGTGTTCATTTATGTTCAATCAAATATCATTAAAATAAAATACTAATTTAATTGTTAATTATTATTCGTAAAATAAATTTTCGTAATGAGAAAAATTTGGGTTTTGAGAAGAGTATGATTTTTGATAGTGAATTTTTTTTGTTTTGTTTATGAAATGTTGAACAATGTAAGTTATATAAGTAATTTTGAATGAAAAGTGTTGTCAGTGATTTTTGAATGACGATATATACATGTATTTTATAATTTAAAAATAATTCTTAATAATATTAATTAGTTATTAATATGAAAATAAAGAAAAGATAGTAGAAAAAATTTCCATTAATTTTCTTATAAAACAATTTTAAAATTGCATAATTGTGTAGTAATTCGATCGTGTCATAGTAGCTTGTGTTTTATACGTGACATATCATAAACTAATTTAAAAAAAAACAGTAGCAATTATTCATTCAGTCAGAAATAATTGCGTCTTAGATACATTTTAAAATTTTACTTCAGTAAAGAAAAGAAAGCAATGCAGACAGTCAACAAAATTTGTTTATGATAAAAGTGTGATATCAAAGAAAACAGTCTGTGAATGATTCGCACGCTTCCAGTTTAAAAATCTTAATATCGAAAATGCACCTAGCTTTAGTCAACCAATTGCTGAAAAAGTCAATGAAATTATGCAAAAGTTGGAGCAAGCAGTCGTGACATTGCTGAGGAACAAAACATCAATCAGCAAACAGTTTGAAACCATTTGAAAAAGGCTTGATACTAACAGAAATTCGATGTTTGGGTGTCACATGATTTAAAAATAAAAGAAATATAATCGATCGAATTTCCATTTGCGAATCGTTGCTAAAACGGAACGAAATCGACCTAATTTCTAAAACGTTTAATAACGGATGATGAAGAAAGGATCACTTAGGACAATAATCAAAGAAAAAGATTATGGTCGTAACAAGGTAAAGTTCCACAAACGGTGACAAAGCCAAGGATTGACGACAAGAAAAGTGATACTGCGTGTTTGGTGGGATTGGAAAGGTATTCTACATTATGAGCTGCTGCCACCTAGTCAAACAATTGATTCTGATCTCTACTGTCAGCAATTAACAATGTTACGACAAACAATTAAAAAAAAGCTCGCCAGAATTGATTAACAGAAAGGGTGTCGCGTTCCATCATGAAAACGTCAAACCAACATGCATCTTTGATGATCTGGCACAAATTGAGAGAGCTCGGTTGGGAAATTTTGATGCATCCACCGTATAGTCCTGACATTGCACCATCAGATTACTATTTGTTTCGGTCTCAGCAGTACTCTCTTAAATGTTGTAAAGTTAATTTCAAAATATACCTGTAAAAATCACTTATCGCAGTTTTACCGCACAAAAAATTCCCAGAAGTCTTACAATAAGACAATAGTGATTTCATAAAAAAAATAACAAAAAATTGTCGATCAAAACAGTAAAGTATTTAATTGGATAAAATATATTGGAAATAATATATATGAATGTGAGATTGTGAATTTAGTATAATAATTGGCAAAACTTTTTTTGGCTACTTAATATATGTTTGAATAAATCCTAAAGATATATGTATGAATGCCATATATCACCTACACGTATGTAGATTTAGATTAATTTTTAAAAAGTGGTACAGAATGAAAACTGATTTATTGCTTATCAAATATTTGAATTCAATCAAATGGTCAGTCGATGTCAGCAGAACTAGTAGAACAAAATTAAAAAGAAATACATTTTAAGGTTATGTCTTGAAAATGTTGTTTTTTAAAACCATTCATGTTGTCTTTTAATATTTTTGAATAGTAAGATGAGTACGAAGAAATGTTAAAAAATGTAGAAGATTTATCTATTTTCTTGAACATTTTGAACACACCTATATTTATATTTATACATTTACGTTATTTCAGAAGTATTGTGCAAAATTAAAACTAATTTAGTGTTTATCAAATTGACTTACAAAAATCACAATGATTTGCATCGATAGACAACTCGCACAAGTTTGTTGTTCATAAGTTACATGTCCAGTCTGTGTAAATGAGTAAACGGTAGTTCATTTTTTTCCTAGACGCGTTCCAACATATCTACGGTTATTCAGTTCACAACATCAGGGATGCTGTTTTTCAAATTGTCCAGGTGTTGCGAAAATAAAGAAAACCTACGCAACATTTTTAACGTATACCCCGCAAAAAGAAATTGCAAGGTGTGTAAATCAGATGACCGTGAAGTCCCAGAATGGCATCGACGATTCCTGACAGGTCCAATCTAGCGCTCTGATAGGTCGGAACTCGGATGTTCACGAACGGTTCAGTGGAAATGAGGAGGAGTATCATTCCATCGAAAGATGAGGTTAGGACAATCTTCCTTTAGTTGAAGTATAAGTCATTCCATTAACATGTCCAAGTAGAGGTAAGTCCCGTGACAGTTGACTCGGCAAACAAGAAAGGCCCATACACTTTGGGTCTGTTCGTCGCGCAATACACGCGAATACGTGTACACGGACAGACACGTAAACTTATGGACAACAAACTTACGATTGTCATCAATCATTGTACATACCATTGTGGAATGCGTATGTCAGTTCGGTAAAGGATAAATCAGATATTCTTTTGTATCATATTTTTTAAATAACCCTGTAGAATAAACGCATATACGGCATACAAATATATGTAGAAAAAAGCATTTACATTCAAACAAATTTATTATTTAAAAAATATATATATATATATACAGAGGAGGAAAACAAATTCTGTCAAAGTTTTCTTCCTAAATTTATTATAGTCATTGCAGGATGGCCAGGAGACGTGTGAGTATATCCACTCCCCCGAACCTATCATATACATGCATGCATGCATATATATATATATATATATANGCGAACAAAACGAAAATACGTTATTATTATATAAGTAAAAATAGGTGTGTATATATTATAGATAAATACATGCATGCATATATATATATATATATATATATATATATACATGCATGCATGCATATATATATATATATGTATGAATTCAAAATTAATCGAATGGAAAGCCGATAAATAAACTTGAGAGAGTGTACAAATCTCCCGATCAAAATTGATTGTGCGTGAGTGGTGTTCGCGATAAACGAGAATACACATGCGTGTGAGTGAATTAATAAATAAATAAATAATATACGTGAAATATAAAGAAATAAAGGAATAAATGATTAAATAGAAAAAAAACTCACCTTCCAATTAGAAACGGCACCCTTACGTTGTTTAGCTCGCGTTTTAGATTTACTTTTGATTATTAATACACCTCTTTGTTCGCATGCTGGATTATTCGGATCGTCACCTGGACCTAATTTGATGCTGTATTCTTGTAAATAATTATGCGCATCCTTTTGCGATACTGCACGTTCCAACGACACCACTATTTTTGCCCACTGTATAATTCAAAATGTTCGTTTATTTTTTTGTTTGTTTGTTTTTTTTTTTATTCATTTATATAAATAAATGTTTATCGAATTTAATTTAAATCACATTTAATAATAAAAATAATATAGAAATATATATATATATATGTTTGTATATTTTCGTATGACAATTCTTTCTCATTTCACCGTTTTAAAATCGTATCTCATCTATTTGTCCCTTTCAACTCACAAATTTCATTATAATTTATAATACGTTAAATTTCCAGTACATTCGTTAGTGGATTTGGCATTTGCAATATGATTTACGTAATACTACTTTTCCTCTTTTGCGTATACCTATCGTTATTATTATTATTATTATTATTATTGTTATTAACATAGAGATTTAATTGTCCATGAAATTGTGTGTTATAACAAATTTTGAAACGTTTCAATATTATTCGCAGTAAATCTAAAAAGAATTTAACGTTTTCGATTAATGTACGAGTAAACTTCAGAAAGATTTCATTTATTCCAATTTGTTATTTAGGATTGTTTATATAAGTATCTAAAGTCATTTGAACAAAAAAAATTAGTTATAGTGTTTTTCAAGATTTGTAAGTTAACATTACATTTACGGATTTTTTGTTCATTATTTTTTTTAAAAATCAACATATGTTTTTAAGAAATAATATTAAAATTTTATATATAAATAATATACACATATATATTTATAATAATAAGTATAATAAAAACAAATATATATATATATAAACATATGTTTTAATAAATATTAAATAATAAATAAAATATAAAAACATATGCATATAAAAAATAATATTTAAATCCTATATATATGTATACTTAACATATGTTTTAATATAATATATAAATAATAATAAATAATAAATTATATATAATAATTAAAATATAAGAACATATATTTATTAAAAATAATAATTAAATTTTATATGCATGTTATATAATAATCAAATTTTTAATGAGTCAAATTGACTCAGTCGGTAAATTTAGTATTAAAAATGAAATCTATAAAATTTACGTAAAATCTTACTTGTTTTACAAATTCCTTTTCACTCTGTTCGATCACGTGAGCATATGTATTACCCATCATAGCTATTAACATGTTCAGCAATAATATCGGTACTAAAACCATAAATATGGCAAATACCGTTTTACTGAGGTTAGGATAAGTCGTATAACTTAAATCGGTGTACTGCAAATAAAAAGAAATACATACAAATAAAAATTCAATAATAGGATAAGGTTGTTGAAGTCATACTTTTGAAGTATTTAATTGAATATCGTATTAAAAGGTGACAGTTAATTGTTTAATAACGTCAAAATGATAATTGATTCAAGCAATTAGGTTTGTTACCGATTGCGTTTTTACGTCACGTTTTAATAAATAAGTTTATGATAGTTGTTTTTTTTTTTCTGTAATTTTGTATATACGTTAACATGTTTTGCAATGATATATGAACCATTTATTTTGAAAGTGTCCTGACTCCATTTTCCCCCAAAAAATCAAGTTAGCTACCGTAACAGTTACATTTTTACATGATCTTTTCATTCTGAAGCAATTTGTTACAAATATATTTAAAATCATGAAGATTTTGTAACAAGAAAATTTGCCGATTAACTGAATAATAAAAAGTTTATTTCGAAAATTGCCTAACTTTATTCGTCATTTATTATTTTTCGGTTGCACGTGATTATTGTACAACTTCATGTTACGTATCAATAAAGCCTCAAAAAAACCTCATTTGAGGTTGCTTATATTCCGAGTAAATATGATAATAATTTATTGTACATAAAATGAAATAAGAAGATTTTGTATGAACAAAATTATTAGAAGACGCAATTTTGAAAAGGKTAAAGAATTCTGATGAAGAATCAATAAACTGATTAAAAATATGTTGGATGCGTTTTGTCAGGAATGAACTGTATCAAATTTTCTACAAGACATCAATGAATGAGAATGAAAATTTGAAAGACCTGAATTCATTACCACGTCGTGGTAGACCAAGAAAGTTCGAAAATATTGTACTGACACCACTATATAAAATATCAGACAAATTACAACAGCAAAATTCAAGGACATAATTGATCTTTTACGATATATATCACCGAAACATCATGATTTCTTCAAATCCCTTTAACACACACAAAATGTTGATGAGTAGTAAATTGTTTTGTAGGTTATGTTTGTAATTTTGTACGTTATGTTGCTAAAAAATGTTTTGAATCGCATAAATTATGTTTCTGTAATGTTTTAAAGATATGTAAAATAAATTAAGTATTGTTTTTTCTAATTTGAAGCATCTTGTATTATGTTGAATGGAGTTAGGTCCCTTCGAAATTTTATAACAAATCAAATTGTTAATTTTCAAAGTGGCCTAACTCTATTCGTGGTTAGAAAACTCATATTATTCACTTAATAATTGCCATTATTTTAATAGAAACTATAAATTTAACTCCTGTATATACACTTAAGCAGGATGACTCATTAGTATCCTATACGTATATTTTTAATTGCATTGAAACATAAACTCTTCAATATCTCGATTCGAACATAAATGGAGTTAGGCTACTTTTAAAATAAACGGCTTTTATTATTCATAAATTTTAAATCTTTTATATTTTATAGTATTGAAATAATTTTTTTCTCAAAATGATATTTTTTATAGTTTAATTTTGTTTTATTATTTTTATTCGTAAGAAAAACGTTTTGTATTTTAAATCTTATTTGTAAAAGATTTTTACATTGTATTGGCACGAATTAATAACACATTGTTGGTTTTTTTGTTAACACTATTTTATGATAAGTTTATTTTATAGGTTATGTCGAAATATATATATATATATGTCGACAAATCCAAATAAAAAAAAATAAAAATGAATGAAAAATCTTTCTTCAAAAGATCGTTTAAAAAACATTATCAAATATTTAACAATAAAACAATAATGTAAAATAATAGTGAAAAATTTTGTTATTTAAATTGATAAAAAAAAAAAAAAAAAACAAAGAAATATTTTGTTAATAATTGTAAATATTGACTGTCCTTTAAACGTATCAATAAATGAACCGTTGATTTTGAAAATGGAAAAAGTACATTTTGTTAAATAAATAGTTAACGCGCTAGTTTTTATTACAAATTAAAAAATAAAATTTATATTTCTCTAATCAATTCAAATTATCTTCAAATATAAAATAAATCTATGATGGTTTTACGAATATTTTTAAACCTATTAGAAAAACGCAAACCATTAGGTATTTTATAATAGCATAAAATGAAATTGTACCAATTTCCAAAATCAACAATTGAAATATTACCTTGGGTGGTTATTTTTGTTTGAATTTTATTCTTAGGTATGATTTAAACTATAGATGATACCACGATCCTCATTTCTTACATAAAATCATTTCAATATTAATTTATTACGGTTTTTTAATTATGTCAAAAAGAATACAAATATTTCGAATTTGATTAAAACAAATAATAAAATTAATATTAAAAAAATTTATAAATAATACAAATGTTTTATTTTTTTTATTTTTATATAAAATTACATATTTTGTATGATTATTTTCTTACAGGATACGACTTGTGACAACCTTATCTTAATTCTATTAATCCTTTCGGTACTAGCGCCGTATATATCCGGCATCAATCTGATTATCTATATGTACAAATATCGGGATATTGTTTAACATTGTTTTATTAACACTAAACCTATCAAGACGCTTTAATTTATAAAAATATGATGTTAAAAAAGACTCACGTTATAATCGCCAAGTGTTATTTGAAGTAACGCCATCCAAGTAGAATGATAAGAATTATATAGTGATGATTTAACACCTGGGAATCCTTTATAAAGAAAATAAAATGATTGAGAGAATCCAAATAAAACGACGACATAAATGATACCAAATGTAAGCATGTCTCCTGTTATCATACTGTATATCATAGTGACGAATGGTCCAGTCAGTCGAATAGCTCTGTTTCATTAAACAAACATTTATTTCATCAATAAATCCATTTCATCAATTTTCAACGAGTTAAACCAGTGTGGAGTTTAGTTTGAAGAATCCCTCAAGGGATGAGTAATTAAAATCACAAGCAGTGACGAGTATAAACGTCGAACACAGGACAAATACATCAATTTAAGTTTAGTTCAATTGATTAAGTTACGCACAATGTTTGAGGGATTACATTATTATATTCGAAATAAGCAACATTTGTTGTTGCAAATGGTATTGATGTTAGAACAAAAAATTATATATTATTCATAATTATAAAAAATGAAAGATTAGAAAAATAATTAGAATAAATTTGGTTGATTTCAGTATGGTAATTTTGAAAACAAAGTTGAGTATCTTAAATTTTTTTACGAATTTCAGATCAAACGTCAACGTCTTCAAAGTAAATTTGTTTTTAATAATGTTGAACAATTTTATTGATGATACAATAAAAAAACATATCAACGAATAAAATATTGATCATATTTTATTAATATGATAAATTTTTATGGTAAATATTAATTATTTATTTTAGACGACGAGTATGCACGTCGGCTACACTAAAATCAAGTTTCGAATCAACGTTTATACAAATAGAATGCAATTAATCGTTTAATACGGTTATTAAATGTACAAACAGATTCATGCGTGTTCTCGATTTAATCCAAAAAAAGGGAAAGACAAGATTTGAAAGAAAAAAAAAATAAATAAATGGATAGAGTTAAATTTCTTGGGGTTGGGGGGGGGGGAACAAAAAAAAAAGAAATCCGAATAAAGGATGAGGAAATTTCTCGTAACGAAGGCTCTTTACGTTAATCGTTTTTTCATCCCCTTGTTTCTTTCCCTTGTGAGGAAAAGAAAAAAAGGTTATAGAGAAGAAACTGCTCAGAGAGAAAGAGAGAGAGAGAGAGAGAGAGAAAGGTAGGGAAAAGAAGCTGAAGAATTATTATCTTCGCAGCATATATTCCCCTTCCTTTTATCGTTTGCTATATCCGTAAAATGACAGCACTTATTGCGGTCTCGTTATCCTCTGGTTCCACTCTCTCTTTCTCTCTCTTTCTCTTTACAGAAGAATATATGAAAGGATAAAACGAAAAATTAAGAAAAAAATACAACAAAATGAACTAAAAGTGTTTCTATTGATGTAAAAATGTTTCAATCATTTTACAAAAAGAATAAATAAATGAATACAAAAAATAGAAAAAGTAAGATTATGTCGTATGATAATCTGAAAAACACGTGTTACGTGAATAAATTGAAATAATTGAATTGAAATATAGCGCCATCTATTGAAAACTTACAGAACCTAAAGACTTAGATAACCTTTAAATATTAAATTGTTAAACTAGCAATAAATGATAATAAAAAATCGGGATAAAAACTATCCTATATTCTAAGTTTAGACAAATCACGCAAAATTAAATAAATTTCACTGAAATCGTTTAGGTAGTTTCCGAATTATTAAAGGACAAACATTGTGACACGAAATTTTTATATATAAAAGGATAGAACAAAAAATTAAGAGAAAATACAACAAAATGAACTAAAAGTGTTTCGAATTGATGTAAAAATGTTTGAATCATTTTACAAAAAGTATAAATAAATTAATAAAACATTAGTTTATTTTTGAGTTTCATAAATTTACCAATAAATCTCAAATATGACTAACCCTAGCAAAAAAACACTAATATCATAATATAGTCCTGAATTTTTCATGCAACTTTTTTCTTATCCAATTGTCTGCTACTATTATACTTTCAGAGCTATTTATGTAGCAAGAGCTAGTGAATCACCCTGTATATAAATACATATTCTTATATTAATCAAGAATATAATTAAAAAAAAAAGGAAAAATGTCAAAAGAATGAATCTATAATCGAAGTTAAGTAACGAGATAACCTATAATCCCATACTTGTAGGATGGTGGTGGGTTATCGCAAGTTTTTCTTCGTTATACTCTTTGACCTATTCTCTTCTATCTTTGTTACAACTAACTCGATCATCGTTTCTTAACAAAATCCACTTGAAACAATTAGATATTCTCTCTCTCACTCTTGTACACTTCTACTTCCCAGTTTCATTTAGGTTAATAAGATTACAATCCAATGGACCCTTCATTTCTTCCCCACCCTCCCTTTCAATCCCTGTCCCTACACCCCTTTTTCCAAGCCGTTGTTCTATGTAAAATCTGTTCGTTGAACAATGCAACCACGGATAGATAGATAGAGGAGACTACTTTTCGTCCAATTTTCTGTCGAGTCTGTACATTCCCTTGAACTTAACTCAGTTGACGTGGATTTATGAACGTCAGTAACCTCAGTGACTAGATAAGGTCATATATCGATTAGAGTTAGGAAGAAGATGAGAGGAAGAGAGTCCTTCGCTTTACTAATGAGCCAAAACTCCGATCGATACTCTGACATATCAGGAACGGAACTGAACGTAATTGCATCATCATCATCTTCATAGTTATCATCGTCATTATTATTGTTATTATTAATTAAATCCCTTTTGATGTAGATGTTTCTACAAAATATTTTATTTATTTATTATTATTAATAGGTGACGTTAGAAATTGGAAAAATTCATTCAATTAAATATCAAATTCCGTTAATGTTCCTGTAACTGAGCAAAATTTCTCCTTTTCCAATCCCACGTACCCCATTTTGTTAAGATCTATTTTAATATTATCTTCCTACCTACGTCTTGGTCTACCTAATGATCTTTTTCCCATTCGATCTAGCACTTGGTATTTTATATGCGGTTAGATTCTCATCCATACGTGTAACCTGACTTGCCCGTCTTTAATAGATTCAATTTTGTGACGTTAAAAATATCCAGACTATTGTATAATTGACGTTAATTCTACGTTGTATGGATTTTTTTCTCCGTTCACACCCGTTACCTCGTCGCGTTTTGCACCAAAGATTTTTTATTCCGACTACTTTATTTTCGAATATCCTCAATTTTGTCTCGTCTTTGTAACATGAGCAATCACGATTCGTTGCTCATAAATGATTACCGGTAAGATAATCGTTCTGTAAATTTTAATTTTTGTTCTACGCTTAGACAACATCTGCGAATCGAGTGGTTTATTATTAGAACAATAAAACACGCATTAGGTACTCAAAATTAATTCTTTTCTTGAAATCTTTATCTTTATTTCATTAGTTTGATTTAGAATCGATTCGAAATACTTTAAATTGAAAAAATGTTATCACGAACGAACGAGTTTACATTATTACGAATATTATGAATTCTATCAGTGACCATTTAAATTCAGTTTTTTTTTCAACGATTATTTGTCAACCAAGTTTTGTTTTGCTTTATGTAATAGAGTTGTAGTATTAATAATTAATGTTTTTTTATTATCTTCTACTAAAGTATATGTTGATAATTGTGTTAATCAGTTCAACTGTAGATCATTTTCATTTTTGTCCATTTTTTTTTATTGACATATTTCAATTGTGAATTAAACCGAAAAAGTGATAATTCATCCATTTGGTTTAATTCGATGTGAAAATTAATATTTATTTTTATCAGAAAATGTTTTTAGTTTTAAATGTATAAACAGTCGTAGATTTAATTTGTATTACAATTCGTGTTACTATTCTTTTTTTTTACAGAATCATATTATATATTAAAATTTTACAATGACTTGATTGACCTCTTAAGTCACCCGACACTTAACTTTTTTAGTCTTCTATTTATGGCAAAAAACGATTGTTTATAAATATAAGATAGAAATAGGAAGATGAACTTTATGATCGTATTTAAAATTTAGTTAATATTATTTCCAATAGAGTTGGAATATTTCAAAGAGTTGGACAATCATCAACTTGACGAATAGAAGATTATACTTTTTACATAAAAAAATAATTTCTTGATCAATTCTTATAACTAACAGAACAAATTATAAATATTCGATAATCATAAACGAATCATAATATTAGATAATCTTTTTGATTTCATTACAATGAATTTTTTAAACATTACACAATTAAATATTGAAATTCCAACATTAATATACTTTTAAAAAATCTCCGATCCTATATTAAACATTACTAAAAAAAAAAAAATTATAAATAATAATGAAATACAATAAAACATTTACAAAAATATATCAAATTATTCTAAATTTAATATTATTATTATTAATAAACATTTTAACATTTCTAATATAAAATTAATTATGTTCTAAATATACATATTAATTTTTTTGCAAAAAAAACTTTTTACTGGAGTCTACCAATAAGATTGAAAAGAAAACACCCTATTTGATCTTATTAAAATGAGCTTTTTAAACATTACACAATGAAACATTGAAATTCCAACATTAATATACTTTAAAAAAATCTCCGATCCTATATTATACATTACTATATAAAAATTATAAATAATAATGAAATACAATAAAACATTTACAAAAATATATCAAATTATTCTAAATTTAATATTATTATTATTATTTGTATTAATAAACATTTTTACATTTCTAATATATAAAATATTAACGAAATATTATATACATATATACATATATAGCCGACCTATCTTCGTAATGAGAGAACTTGGAGAAAATGAATTTAGGGTGTTTCAGATTGGTTCTGATATAATGGCAACTATAGTAAGTGCACTTATATACTCATATTATGATGCCATAGCATAGAAAGTAGAGAGTAGTGAGTAGAAGTGGGTAGACGAAGTTAGTAGAAGTGCACGAGTAGTAGCACTGGCTTTTACTCATTATCAAACGTTGATGTACTTAAATGACATTGCCAGAGACAAAAGGGACGCGTTGATGGACAGTAATTATACCAGAGTGTGTGATACCACTTTGACACTACATCAACTAAATAAATCTAATATCTTTTACCTCCTTTTTAACTCAACGTTATCTTTTAAAGTACGTTCTCTCGATAGTCGGATATTTCTTTTTAAAAAAGGGATCGATGATAATAAGAAAATGTTTGCGAATA